AGCAATTAAACGTTCTTTGGCAGTTGATGAACTTTGGAAAAGCCCAACAAATCTACAGCAAATAATCGTTAGACAATCGCGTATCTGTGGAACTACGGAATAAATATGATACCATATGTTTATTGACAAGAAAAATACCAAAAATAAAATAATAACGTTTCAGATTCCAATGTACCTATTAAAAACACTTCAATTTTTACTTAAAATCGCTATCAAACACTTACCTTCCTTCATCTGATTTAACAATCATTAAAAAAAAAATACGATCAAAAAAATTTTGTCATATGACAGCAGATTATATTTTTAAAACACCCTATTTTTGCCATCTATTAATTCATGACGTCACTTTAAATATGGTTTAAAAAATATTTTAAACCAATGTGGTGGCTAAAAAACAACTTTTGTAACTTTCCGCTATGTCACATGTGTTTTCATAAAACATCTATTTATTTAAACCAAGCTTTCAAAAAAATTAAACAATATTTTGAAGTGTGACGTTTTATTATTTATTTGTGTTGGTTGTACGGGTTGTAACTGAAAGACAACATGTAAATATGTTTAGTTTTAAAGAAAATTCCTAGGCAGGTCCATGCGATTTATAATGTGGTTTACCAAAAAACAAAATCATTTTTGGAATATGTTAGAACAACTTTCTTAAGTCTTTACAACCCCTAGTCACACTTCATGAACGGTTTTCAATATTAAAATTAATGCCAGGAAGTATTTTTCCCGAAAACTTCGTTTAAAGTCAACCGCGCATCGATAGATTTCTATGGGCAGGTTCTTTCAGCGATTCTTTAAAAATAGCCAATGTTATACCTGTGTACAAGGGCGGTGATCATAATTGTCTTTCTATCGACCCATTTCTTTATTACTCACTTTGGCAAAAATTACTGAAAAATGGGTTAAGATGAGAATGCTAGCTTTTCTTAAAAATCGCGGAGTGCTATCTACATCTCAGTTTGGGTTTCAATCGGGTAAAAATACCACTGATGCTATGTTTTCTGTTCTAAAAAAATTATACCTCAATTTAAATGATAACAAGGTAGCTGATGCAGTGTTCTGTGATTTATCCAAATCTTTTGACTGTGTAAATCACAGAATATTGCTGAGCAAGCTAGAAAAATATTGATTTCGAGGAATAGCTCTAAAGTTCCAGTCTGATTTGGAGACTAGAGTACAGAAAGTTTCTTTCAATAAACAAACATCAATGCTTTCTATGATTAACTGTGGGATTCCCCAAGGATCCGTTCCGGGACCGGTTTTATTCCTAATTTGTGTGAATGATATGATTAATGTCAATATTAATGGCTTCATCATATTTGCAGATGATTCAACGATACTGTGGGAGAGTGAGAATATTGAAGAGTGGTCTAATACTATTAACAAAGACATTATTAAGATTAAAGAATGGTGTAATTCAATTATTTCTCTTAATATATCAAAAACAAATATAGTCTTATTTAGTGGCGATATCTCTATAATTTCAGTTGGACAGCAACAAGAAAAAACCCGAAAATAAATTCTTAGGCTTATTCCCTGACCAGAAATTAAAATTTAAAATCCATGTTAATAGTTTGTGTAAGAAGCTGTCCTCTGGATGTTTCGCAGTAAGAACTGTTGCATACAACTTATATATTTCATTGGTAGAATCCCATCTGTGATATGCTATAAGTTTTGTAACCTACCTCACCCAGCTACCTTAATAATTTATTTATTTCATTTATTAATTATAATATTGCATTCTTATTAAATTCAAAATCCTTCATTTAACGAAAAATCTCCTAGATAATTCACGACACTTAATAAATAATATCTATAACCCTGCCTGTAAGAGATCCAAATTTCGTGCACGTGTCTGAGAACCAGCCCAAGAAACACTTATCTTAAGTGCGTTTGAATAGTAACATTGTTTTCAATACACAAAATGTTCAAGGCAAGTAATAAATCAGCCACCCCCTTTTCAACCACATTCATATTTCGCTGGGAACTAAGAAACACAGAGACGTCACAAAAAGCCATTAAAAATAGTATAAAAAGTCTGACCCAAAGGAGCTCGGATTCAACCATTTTTTATTATTTGATGTGCAAGCATCGATTCATTTTTTATTATTTGATGTGCAAGCATTCATTTTATTATTTTACATTCAAGCAATCACTTTATTATTTGTATTCAGTTATATATTCTATGATGGTGGATAAGGTTTTCCTCACCTGTAAGTCAAATGGCACCATCAATCATCTTTAAGTCGCCCGGAGCGCCACGGCAAATAATAATAGCCGTCCCTTTCCCCGCACAAGCCCAGCTTTTGGGGTTAAAATTGACTCGTAAAGGGGTGAATTAGGGAGAGTATTATTATTATTATTATATAGTCTGTACCTTTCCTAAACGACGTCTATCCTACAATACCTCATATCCCCGAAGGTGTCAACGTCTCGACGCCCAACTTCCCTACCTTTCTACGCTAACATTTTTAACACCATTTTAGTATTTCCTATCATTATATTCATCCCGACGCTCAACGTCCAGACACCCTACTTCCCTACCTATCTACGTCTCAAACGCTGTCATATTCCGCACCATCAAAGTATTTTCTACCTTACAATCACTCCGACGCCCAACGTCCCATCGCTCTACTTCTCGATGCTTGCCGCCCCTAAATATATCCATATCCTTGTCGACACCCTTCGACACGCCTCGCACCACCTAAATATTTCTACCGTATCTTTGTCCCAATGCAGTACCGTATTAAATACCTTTCTTTCCACCACGACGCTAGGCGACGCTGAACGCTGCGACGTACCTAAATCGACACCGTCACAACGCTAGATGAAATTAGTACATAATCTAATGTCTGTATTTTCAATGGTGAGTCAAAAGATTTATGTAACTTTCTTTGAGATATCACCGGGGTTTCGTTTAAGCGAGGGCTTGACATTTTCTGCAAAATATTATCAATATAACCAATAAACCACATGGCCTTCAGGTCATACACCCTGAAAGACAGGATAAACATCTGTTTCGATGGGTGAAATTTTGAGTATTTCAATAGAAATTATAATAATCAATATTAAAAAATTGCAATAGAAATTATAAAAATAAATATTTTAGAAATATACAGAGATGTGTTCTTGGATAAATTGTACAAACCAAGATGGTAAAATTTAATAGTAAGTTAACCAACTGGTGAATACATTGTTCGTTAGCTCAAGGGGGGACACATGCTAAGCAACCTGTTCTACTAGGTTTGAAACAAAGTATATGTGAAATCAACATTGTAAGGTAACCAACTGGCGAATTGGCGCTGTTCGTTACTTCCGTTGGTCATCACCTCTATTCTCGTCGAAATATTTACCTCTAGAGGGTGCAACCTGTGTATATCTAGAATACAATCAAATCACCACAGTAGTTAACAAACTGGCGAATTGGCGCTGTTCGTTAACTCAGTTGGTCATCAACATAAATAAGAATATAAACATCTTTGATAAAAGACGGAAGAGTGCTTCAAAGTCGGACAGAAAAGAACCTGCTGTAGATCAGTACACAATACTATTGTATTATTTTCTTTTGCTAATTTAATATCATCACTCAGTGCGGAATATGCCTTTTCTGCCCGCCTATGGTGGATTTCACTTTCGTGAGAGATATTATTTTTTTCTTCTTCCGAACGAGCATAGAATTTGTCACAATACTGGCAAGTATCAGACCTTGGTGTACCGAATCTTAAATTGAAATCAGACCTGAATATATCTCTGTATAGCTTTTCGCTGCATTTAGCGTCTGGATGTTTGCCCTTAAACAAAATAAACATCTGCTTCAACGTTAAATCGGGACTAAGGCACATTTTTTCCGTTCGACCTCTTGCATAGTAACTTTCTTGTTTAGGGAAAGTCTCGATATGTGCTTTAATTAAATCCTTAATAGTGTTTGGTATAGCATTGGGCCTGTTTGAATGTCTGCCTCTTTTATCTTCCAGTGGCTCGTTAAACTTTAATTTTTCTTGCAGCTTCTGCAGACGCCTTGGTGTTATTTTTAAAACGTAACAATGTTTTTGACATACCTTTGGTATATCTTGGTTTTCAACGGGTAGATAATATTTTACGCTACAGTGTCTTCTGGAAATATCTTCATCCACATACATTCGTTGAATATTTACAATATCCATGCATTGTTGCGCAAGCATTCTTGACTGATTGTCATAGTTTAAATTATAAAAATCTTTAAATGCTTTTTGTTTATTCGCCAAACTAATATTTTGACATTTATATTTACAGCGAGAAACACGAACCTCAAACAAAAAACAACAATATTCTAATCGCTCATTAAAAACACTGTTACAGCAGAAACGATGGTTACAACGTTCTTTTACTCACATTATCAACAGCGATTTTCCCAGGCACGGCAACGTTTCTTTTACTTATATATGGCTGTCCACTGTCCGTCAAGCTTTTTCTTTTAACGTCTTTCCATTCGGCAATGTTTATTTTTCGCTTTCGGCCTTTATTCAGCTGCTTTTCTGCTGCAGAAGTAACACACACCGCACTTGACGCCATTTTGCAAGAAACTAAACAAACACACAGCGCAAAACTCTTGTTGTTACAACGTTGTTCTGGCCGAGGCAATGTTCGCAAGCTAAAATGACCCTTAATAATAAGGCCGATTGCAGAAAGGATGGCAATATAATGTTGCTTACATTGTTCCATGTTTATCACCGTTTCTGAAATATTGTTGGTTACAACCTTGTTCGGGGCAGGTATTCAATTGTTTATGCGATTTATAATGTATTTTGAATTTATTTGGAAAGTTGGTTTAACGTGTCACGTCAGGCTTAAGTTGTCTGACAGCAACATTGCCAAATTGGATTAAAAGGTATTGAATCACATTTCATTATGCAGATTTAAAATCTGAGCTAGGAGTACTGGATAATACTCTTAAACAGCTAATAAGAGAACTATGTCGACTCAAATTCTATTAAAAAAGAAAAAATTACAAGAGATTTTTTTTTTATTTAGAAGTTTCTGGAATATTTTAAATAATTATGCAGATTGTGAATTTCTCTTTTAAATAGTCAACAAATTACAAAAGATTAACGATTAAAAATAATGTTCCAAGAAATATTTCTTTTGGGAATGAATAAAAAAAATTATTTACATATACAAAAAATATATTACTCTTTCCTTACATGTATCTCAAACATACCTGATTTATTTCCTATTAAAAAACAAAGTCCAAAAACCTCCAGTGCCCAACAGTCATGGCGAGCTGAAATTGAAACATACCCAAATTGTTTAGTAAAAATGTTTCTTTTTAAGTTGGGAATAAAGATACACCAATTTTTTTATGTTCAAACTATTTTAGGCAGTTAGCAAACTGGCAATAAGAAATAATTACAACCTGGGCCATTCTTCTTGTAATATCAACGACAAACAACTACTAATACAATTTGGTAGGTATTCATACTTTTATCTATATAGTTGCCAAATTATTATGGGAGTTTATGTACAAAAATTATTTATGGTTATAATTCGGAATTTACTAAACAAAAGGTTCTAAAACGAACAAAAAGCTTCCAAATTACATAAAGGAAATAAATGTTCATTCCTAACGCCAGTTATTATCAGTTTAAGGTCTGTTATTTTGCATTGTGGCAACAGTGTAAAGCAGGCTTCCTTCTGGTATGTGCTTTGGACTGATCGCAAACGCCATCTCCACTCATTTATTATGTCGCCTCGCTCTTTTTCTCGCAGCCTAGTGTCGTCCAACGACGTTGTTTACAAACATAAAACCACCTGAATACTAGCAAGTACACAAGTGCTTACTTGTGAATTAAAGGATCAGTCTAGTAGTTTTTCGTTGTTGTTTAACATGGCTATGAATTTAACTTTAAGAAAGAGAATTGCTGTTTGTTATTAATGATTTTTAAAATGTAAAATATGGCATTTTAATTAAATAAAAATGCAAGATCAATCAATACCTTAATATTGCCTTAAAACAGTTTTTAATAAAAAAATTGACTATTTAGAACGATACGACCATGTTTATAAAATACTTAACCCTTATTTAGGCCAGACCGGTTCTACCCAAGGCGGCTTTGTTTAGACTGAAATCAAATCGACTTTTTAAGCAAGTGATATGTTTATAATGTTATTATAACTTCTAAAGTGCTTTATTTGATTAATTTTGCCAATGTCAAAATTAACTTTGAATAATCAAAATCTATAGAACGAGGCTATATATAATAAAAAATGTAATTGATATGTTGCTAACTAATGTTTAAAAGTAAATAAAAGTCAAAAAATGTTAATTGTGAACATAATAAATTTTACATCAACCAAATCTATAGATTTCGATAATATTATAAAGGAATCAAGGAATTATAAAGGAAACAGCATTTATGGTATTCATTAGAAATATCTTAAAAATAGTTATCCGAATTAGAGAATATTAACAGAAAAGGATATTCTTGAAATAGTATTGACAACTTTTTTTATTTTATTTAACAATCCCAAACAAGTCAAATAATAAAAAGGAAAATAATTCCAAAAACTCAAATGTGACCATGATGTAAAATAAAGGAAAACAAGACAATCTCAAAGGCATGTGTTACAAAATAATGTGCGACAGTTTCCCTTCCAAAAATCAAATACGCCTTTGGCTAATACCACAACAGGCATTGGATTATATCCAAAGAAAAACAGCAGACAGACTAGTAGATTGCTCTAAGAGTGACGAAAATTACATTTTACCAACCTAGGCGAAGCTGAGCTTTAAAAAGTATTTTCGGCAAGTAAAAACTATATTTTTTGTACAAACTAAAATTAAAAATGATTGTATTGGAAGCAACTTCTTTGTTAATATGTTTTCATTAAGTTTAGCATTTAAGAAATGCGAGTGATAGTTTGGAATAACGAACAATAAAAATTCAATTAAACAACTAACACCAGACAACTAGTTGTGGGTTATTTTATATTTTACACTAGTTTCATAATTTTATTTTGTTTTTAATTCAATAAAAGTAAAGTAAACGAAGATTTTAATGAGCATCCTTTATTTTATTAATAATAAGCTACCAAAATATTACAGATGAGGTGGATGACATGTGAAAATATGCAATAACTATTACTCCAGGGGGTCGATTCTCGACTTGTAGGAATTTTTTCCTATAGGAATTTTTGACATTTTTCTATACATAGAAAATTTATGACATTTCCCTACATATAGGAAAGTGTCACAAATTCCTATAGGAAAAGGTTCCTACAAGTCGAGAATCGACCCCCCAGGAAAATAGATTTTTATCTGAAAAATTAGTATGTTGATCCAATTCGATGTCCTGTCAATTACTCCCGGGCTATGTGGCTTGCATTTTTTTTATGGACATCAATCAGAAATTTTGTCTACTTCATGTTCCTCAAAGGGTGTATCTTTAATGCGTATACTGTATAACTGAGACGCGATTAAAGGCGCGCTGCTGTATGTGAAGAAATTCGGAAACATTAAAAGTTGTCATGGAGTGCTGAAATTTTGCAGGTAACTTATTTGTATAAAGGCTCTGATGAACATATTATTGAATTTTAATCGAATCATATAGCTTGCTTTTCTAATAATGAAAAACTGATGCCAGCAGTTTTTTGCAATAACCCATACAGCACACATTATTTCAGAAGTATTTCAGAAATATTTCAAACGTTTCAAACATAACATTTCAAGCACAAGTTTCTGAAATATTTTAGTTAAATATTTCACTGAAAATGTTTTTCAAACATGGTATACAACAATTAATGAAGAATTTCTGATTTGTAACAGACAACAATTGTAAGAAGATGGGATATGTAGTTATTTTATTTCATCCTGTCACCATCCAGCCACCAGCTAGAAACAAGCCTATATTCTAAATTATAGATTTTGAGTTGTTGGTTTTTGACATTCATGTGTTGCGAACTTGTTATATGGGAAGCAGAATATGTCTTCAGAAACTGAGGTGAGAACATAAATAATGCTTGCTTAGGTAGATCTTTATGTTTTATTTAGGCATGAGTATTTGTATAAATCCTTTTTTAATTACCTATATTTTGTTTCAGATTAGTGCATTTAAAGGAATTTGTGGGAATGAAGTGATATGCCTTTATATTTTATGAAATGTTTAAAAATTATTTGTTTGTTTAAGAATCAATGTTTGAGTTTTGTGTATTTTAAATAAACATGTATATTTATAAATGTCTTTTTTTTAGTCTAATAATATTTAATAGAAAAAAAGCTAGAATACATTTCTGAAATATTACTATTTAATATTTCTATAAGATTTCAAATTTTTATTTCAGAAATGTTACTGTGAAATATTATATTTACAGGACATTTTTAAGTTTCAGGCACATTTCAGAAATGTTTCTGGGATGTTTCGTAATATTTATACACTACAAGTGTTTCAATGTAATATTTTTGAAATATGTGTGCTGTATGGGAAATTCTGAAAAAAGATCAGATGGAAAACGTATGTATATAAAGTGTTCATGTTTACAATCACTAAGAAAATATTATTGCCTTTTTGGCATGAGACATTTTAGGGAAGAGGGAAAATTTTGGATAAAGCAAAACTATGGGTTAACATTAATCAACTATCTCTAAATTAATCAACTTAACCCTAAAGGAAATGGATGATAATAATAACAATTATGTTAAACTTTTGGGCCTCTATATAGATAAAAACTAGACTGGAAACAACACTTGCACATGTTTTCTAAAAAGATCTCCAGCCTAACATGTCTAATAAAAAATATCTCGAAAATGACTACTAGGGACATCTGTAGAACTGCCTATATGGGGTTGTCCAAAGACAAATTTCTTATGGAAAATCATATTATGAGAAAATTCGACTGAGTGGATAAATAATTTATTCAGCAAAAAGCAGCGGGCAGAGCTATTGTAGGTGCCAAAAGCACAGAATCATGTAAAACACTGTTCAAAAATCTTCATGTACTTATTGTACCCTCTTTATTCAAATTCAGTTGTGTTAATTACATAAAATCTAAATGAACAGTAAGTTGTTTATTTTAATGACTTCTATACACAGTTAAAAAAGTATCAACTTAGGATTTACCCCGTATATGTGGCCTGAAGTAAAGAAGGTCAAGTATATGTTCTAGAGGGTAAACTATAAATACTATAATAGGATTATCTAGGGCATTTTGTCAAAAATACCCTCTAGATGAAGAGGCAATAATTTTCAATATATACTGTTTTTAATTTGATATAATTCAATTAGTCAAAGAAATAATTTTTCCGAGTTAACATGGCTTCGAGATTTTCTTATTTTTCTTTATTTTAAGTTAAATATTATTTTTTTATTATTTTAATAAATAAATTGAGACCTTCTATTGAACCTTAAAATATTTTTTAAATCTTATATTTTCCAATATCGGAAAAAACATTTATATGAACATTTCCCATTATTAAAATACCAATATATTTGAAAAATTTTAAAGGCTTATAACTTAAGTATTTCAGATATCAATATCATGTTTCCATTGAAGTTCTTTCCACATTTTTCTCAAATAAGAAAATTACATGTCAAAATACATACAGAATCAACAGCTTTAAAATGACAATAAAATTATTATAGAGAAAGTAAAAGTTGAAAAGTCTTTTGGTAGGTAGAGAGGGGGTAAACGTCAAACCACGTCGGGCGGCTCCGAGAATTTCACAGTAATGTTTACCTGCCAGTGTCGTTTCATAGAATAAGTAATTTTAAATTTTTATCGGCGGAACTGGACAATCGCATGTATTTATGGATTATAAATAATTATTAAACATGTATTATAATATTCAAATTATAATTTTACAAAATTTTAACAGCTATTCACAATTTATTAAACTATTTACTCGAAATTGTTATTAAAATCTATAAAATAATTTTGTACGCCAATGTATCGCGTCCACTTCGGTGAAATCCGCTGCCAACCTGTCAATTTATGTGTATAAAGTGGGAGAACTGGCAAAAGCATTTCCAACTTTTACTTCTGTTCTAGCAATAAAAATATGTATTATATGAGAAGACCTTGAAAAAACAAAAGTTTTTCATATTCTTGCAATTTACCAGTGATTTAAGATGAATTTTAATGAAATCTTAACACCTTAATGATCACTTAGTTGTTTTACTACCATAGTACATACAAAACATATTTAATAATCCTAATCTACATATCAATCAAGCACCTTAGAAGTTAAAAATATAAACAAATGATCCCACCTTTTTAACGTAAAGAGAAGAACGTAAATCTATCTGCAAGCTTTCTGTCTCATCTTTGGATTCCAAAAACGCCATTCAAACCCTAAAAATTTAAAAAAACTTCTAGTAATAGATCAACAATATAATACAAAAAAAAAATGTAAGGAAAGAGTCAACAAAAATAAATACAAAAGGATATTCTTAAATTAATAAAGTGTGAGTGATATTTCAAACTTATTATGTAATTATTAAAAACAAGTCCAAATTCTTACTGCTACTTATGGTTTATTTTTTGACATTTTGAATATCATTTAATAAAGTAAAAAAAAACTTTGGGGTCAACCAAAAAGTCCAAACTAGATTAATAAAATAGAAAATTAAAGATATGCATACTATAATTACTGCTGCTAAATTCCTTTGGAAAGATTTGATACATGGAGTTTTAAAGAGTCTCATAAACATGCATTGTCTCGTTGTTTCACAGTAACTTACTATTAGCATAATACATTAGATTAAATTGCTTTACAAAATTTATATTTTGGAAAACAAAAATGAAATTTACTCAGTTTTATGGTTTTTAATCGAGAACGGTCACATTAAATATGGGCGGAGGCCACCGAGATGCTTTCAAATAACCAATAACACCGGCACACAACCTACCGGCATGTATTTTGACCCGCTGAATCCGAATTTCAAGTCAGTTTGGGCCGTCCACCCTTCAATAAAAATAAGATTAGTAATAAAAAAAATGTATGAATCGAAACCAAGCATAATTCTTATGTATTTCGATCCGCTGAATACAAATGTGAAGTTTATTTAGACTATAAACCATTCTAAATCATAGAAATTGTTCAAAAACCTTGAAAAATGTTAAAAATTGCAAAAAATTGTATTAGTAAACAAATTTTTTGCTACTTTTAACATTTTTCAAGGTTTTTGTACAATTTCTATGATTTAGAAAATAAACTTCAGATTTGTATTCAGCGGATCGAAATACATAAGAATTATGCTTGGTTTCGATTTATAAATTTTTTTTATTACTAATTATCTTATTTTTACAATTTACTCGATATTGAAGGGTAGACGGCCCAAACGTGACTTGAAATTCGGATTCAGCGCGTCAAAATACATGCCGGTAGGTAGGTCGTGTCTGATGTACAAACAACTTTTTTTTTGTGTGCCGGTGTAATTATTGGGTATTTCATCCTTTATAACTTTTAATAATTTTGCAGATTTCTTTCTTAACTCATAAATTACGAACTACCTCGTATATGTTTTTGACATTTTGCTCAGGTATTCTTCAGAATTTACTATTAACAAGAAGAAAGTCCAGGTCTGTCTTTACAAAAAATTAATAAATTCATCTGAATTTGAAGTTTTATTTATATTTGAAGAGTTCAAAAAGTTGAACCAATGATATGCCCTTTATTTGAGATTATTTTACTACTTAAATTTTAAGTCTAAATTGTTTTTTTTTTACATTTTAGAAGTACATAATGGAATTTGCAAATTTTAGTAGATGGATTCTCCGAAAATGACAAATTGTATATTTACAGATAAGGCCAAGTTCAACTTATGGAACTCACACATATGGGTGACAGAAAATACATTTGCTGTAAGAAAGAACCATTCACAATACAATTTGGATTTAAAATTGGAGTAGAAAAAACATTTGTGCAAAAGTAAAAATACCATCATTGAATTCAGGTCTTTGTGCTCGAATTTATTCATTTTTTGTAAAAACAGACCTGGATTTCAAAAATTGCATTATTCAGGTTATATAATGAACGTGTTGTGACTGCCAGATAAAAATCTGAAACTCTCAGAATCTACTGTTCTTACCTTTAAATAACCGTACTACTTGTTTTATTTTATAATCTTATAAATTGTTTTTCTTGATGTTTTTTCATAAAGATATATAAGAATCCTATACATAAGTCGAATTTTTTTTTCAAAATAGAAACATCTAGTTATTTGGAAAGAAATAAAAAAAATTGAGTTGATTTTTGCTGTTAAAAAACGACTCGCACATACACTAAACATAAAAATAACAAAACAAGTGGTATGGTCATTTAAAGTTATGAACAGTAGATTCTGAGAGTTTCAGATTTTTATCTGGCAGTCAACACTTTCATTATATATCCTGAATAATGCAATTTTTGAAAATTTCAAAACTTCAATCAAAGTTTTTTTTGCAAAGAGTGGGCTGCTCAGGTTGACTTGTGGCTGTATTTTACCTATGATATATACACTTAATTCCTGAGGAACATAAGCTGCTAAGTCTAAGCAGTTAAGACGCTAGAATCGATTGAAATTTACAAAAAAATGTTCAAAAACCACTCATTTTCAGCACGCTGCCGTTAATCAGAGGTATTGACTGAGCAAATTATCAATGCTTATACTTAAACTACTATCTTTCCCCTTCAGAATTCCGCTTTAATAATGTAGTTATCTTCAAAAAGAAAAAAATCAGAGGAAAAGTTGATAAGGCTTAAAATATCGATTTTTTTAAAGTCTTTATATAAATAGGTGGAAAGGAGTGCTTATAAAAATCAAACTCGTGTAAATTTTCTACTTTGGGACCCTAAGGAATAGTTCCTCAAAGTTACACTAAAATCTAAAATGGATCAGCAACAATTTTTTTATTTTCACTATTTTCAGACAATTTTGTATGGAATGACTCTTTACTGTAATTTTTTAGTTAGAAATTATGTATTATTTTAATTAAAGTAAACTGAATACCTAGTTTGAAGCTATTGATTTCAATGTTCATTACAAATAGTAAATATAGATATTGAAAATTGTTAAACTGGCGAATGGCCATTCAAAATCTATATATGCTGTATTTCAAAGAATAGGACTGTTTATAGATTAAATAAGGTCAAATTAGAAAGAAAATATCACTATTAGTAAATATTAACTTAGCTTAAATCTAATAAACAATAAAAATACAGACATTTTAAAGTTCACTTAAAGCTGGCTCCAAGATTCTTGAGCTTTATCACTGCAGTTCATACAAAACTCCAAGGAAACCTTGTGTTTAGAGACATGTAAGCAAACACCTACATCTTCATCATTATCTCTTAAAGCTGTATAATTATGTTCTTCTAAACTCGCACTGCTTGTAGAATTATTCCCATTAAAAACGTTATTTTCTGGTAACAATAGAGGAAAATCCGTTATATCTTCATACAAGTTTAAGTTCAAACTTAAATCATCCCCCAAAAGGCAGTCAGAAGTAGTAAAAACGTCAGGATTAGCTAAATTTTTCTTTGGAACAGAAATATTTTTCAATGATAGGTTCGAATCCAATGATGAGGATACTGACATACCTGTACTATTATGAATGTTCCTTATTAAATTTTTAATATCGCTACTGTTTGCTATTATGCTTTTCAAATATTTAACTTCCTTTTGTAAATCAACTACAAGCAAAGACTGATTTCTAGTAACAGCTGTCAACTTTTTGTTTTCGTTTTTAAGTAATGTGACTTCCTTTTCAAGTTTATTGACATACATTTTTTTTCTTAAGCGATTTTCTCTTGCCATTAAAGCATTTTTTGATGAACATCTGGGTTTTCTTCTTGGGTTTTCCATAGAGTTAAAATTCTGAAAAGTACTCGTTTTACAAGAAAAGTTACTACTACTACTATCAATTGAGGATCTTACTTCCTTTTTGGATTGATAATCCCTTTCTTCGTATGAATCTTCTTCTGATGAAGTGAAATTTTCAGAAACGTATCGCATACGTTTGCCATTAGAGACCATCTTAATCTTGTTCCACGTAAAGATACAGGTGTAAATAGAAAGTTCTAAAGTACTAGAATAAATTCAATTTACAGTAATTAAGATTTTACAAAGTATAACTTATTACTTCCCTTTTTGTACAGATATAATTAATAACTTCCGTTAAAATGGCGTCTTATCTCATCTACCTACTCAAAAATGAAATGAAGCAGAATGAAAACGCGCAAGTGCGTGCGGAAGCGGAAATTCCGATTTCTACTTTTTTTTACTTAGGATATTTGACTCCATCTACTTTAGGAGTTTAGCCAACAGAGCTACCTCGTAAACAAAACTCAGCTGAGGCCCGTAAGTCGTCCTTGAACTAAAATCAAAGTTCGGTTACAACGTCTCTAAAGTTCTAGGTGGTTCTGGTGTTAAACTGGAATTTAGAGATGGATATTAGCAAATCTGTAACGGTTATGTACATTTACGGATTTGTTACTACACATCTCTAAATTCACGTGATATAACCGAACTTGGATTTTCCTTCAAGGACGACTTACCCAAGTCCGACTCAGCCACTGAACTATATATTAAACTGGAAGACCAAAGCCGATCAACAAAATCAAGCCGCATAGCGAGGTGATATTTGACACTTCGGCGCCAACATGTGCGTATCGAAATGTACTAAAAAGGATCATCAAAATTAAATTTAACACTTATTACATTCAACTAGACAACTTTTAATTTAAGAAAATCACTTAAAAATGATTTTTGATTAATACGCAGCTGAAACAAATGTTCCAATAATAATTATTATTAAAATAGGGCGTTATTAATAAAAAATAATATAATTTATCATAGTACGCCCGTGAAAAATGTGACGTAGAATGCTTAAAATTGACAGTCTGGTGGACTCAGCTGAGTTCACCGACCTTGATATTAAACTGGATGGCTATATGACATAAACCCTACTCCTAATTTCTCAGCCGACATGGGTGAAAAAAACGGTCGGTGCGCATGACAATTTGTGCGCCAGACTGTCAATTTTAAGCATTCTACGTCACATTTTTCACGGGCGTACTATGATAAATTATATTATTTTTTATTAATAACGCCCTATTTTAATAATAATTATTATTGGAACATTTGTTTCAGCTGCGTATTAATCAAAAATCATTTTTAAGTGATTTTCTTAAATTAAAAGTTGTCTAGTTGAATGTAATAAGTGTTAAATTTAATTTTGATGATCCTTTTTAGTACATTTCGATACGCACATGTTGGCGCCGAAGTGTCAAATATCACCTCGCTATGCGGCTTGATTTTGTTGATCGGCTTTGGTCTTCCAGTTTAATATATAGTTCAGTGGCTGAGTTTTGTTTATAAATACGAGCCTGAGTCGGACTTGGGTAAGTCGTCCTTGAACGAAAATTGAAGTTCGGTTATATCGCATGAATTTAAAGATGGGTAGTAACAAATCCGTAAATGTACATAACAGTTGCAGATTTCCTAATATCCATCTCTAAATTCCAGTTTAACACCAGAACCACCTAGAACTTTAGAGACGTTGTAACCGAACTTTGATTTTAGTTCAAGGACGACTTACCCAATTCCGACTCACGTAAGTTCTGTTTATAAATACGGGCTTAGGTTTGTTCACGGTTAGTGGGTTTGTTCGGTTTGTTCACTGATAGGAGTTTGTTCCACTCATCTTTTTTGCAAAAATCACTGCAAGCCGTCCGGCGCTGTACGTCCGAGAACCAGTGGTTCAATGTCTAATTGTTCATTGTATACACATACTTTGATTTTCGTATGTGATTGTATACAACTCTGGGTGTAATACAACTTTTATTAATCTTTCTACATCTTCGCTCGGATACTTTTCTAATTAATTTTTAACGAACCGCAATGAACCCAATGAACTGGAGTGGGGAATTAACCTATTTATGGGGAAATAACGGTATCGGTAAGTCAGAAAATCGTTTTCAAACTGCATTAAGATTATAATATAACTACCGAATGCGAAAGAGAACTTATCTACGAGCAATAACTACGAACCTATAGATAGGTTGTTTGTCCATTTCCAAATAAGCCGTTATGACAAAATGTATAACAGAGAAATTCCTCAAATAATACAAGAGACGTGCTTAAAAATTATTTCTTTGTCATGCGAAGAGTTGACAACGGTTCTGTGTTTTTGTAGATTTTGATTTACGAACGATTTTCAAACCGTTTGTAAAATAGCTAGTTATGCAACCAGTTACGAAATTCCTTATTTTAGGTAAGGAGTGAATATTTGCGAGCGAGGTCCCACAACATGAACGATAGTTACATAAAACGACATTTCGTGACGTGTTACATAAAATAGTTTTCCAATTTTGTTCTTGTTTTTGTAAAACATTACTGACATCTAGGCAACCAATATCACTTTCTTGTATTCTTGTATTGTTAGTTGCATATTCATAATTTTATTGACAAACAGAAAATCATATCACAACGACTTGTAGTGTGTCTATATTGCTTATATTTAGTTTTCAAAAAAGCAGGTTATTTTGTCGTGTATTGTGGTTTAATTATTTTGTGCTAATAAAAAATGAAAAATAACGATTTTTTTTTTCGTAATCAGTTTCATAATGTTCAACAATATACAACTGATTGTGTAAAGTAGTTCATTTTAAATATCAAAATATAAAAAATATTTTATATGAATCACAACGATCTAGCTGCACGATTCGTGAAGTGTTCTGTGTTCGTGTCTATGAACCGTGATCATGTTGCTCTTCGAGCATAGCTGATATCGTACCACTTTTGTGTTATAAAAGTGAAAAACTTGACATGCGAATAAATTGGAGTTTGTAAAATGGTTTGCAGGCTATCGCTAGAATCTGAATCTGCAAGAAACAACTTATAGAGAATATTGGTTAAATTCTACAATTTCACCAGTAAAAACATCAACAAATTAATATTTTACATCTACTAAATAAATAAACAATTCTCAAATAGTTCGACTGCTTTTTACCATAATATAATGTGAAGTCATAAAACTATAAATAGCATTTTTCTCAGAATACCGAACGTCGAACACCTGTGTTTTTAGGTGCACAGCGGTGCATTGGAACAAAATGAGTGTCCGGCGCATAGTTAACGAAGCACAAATGACGTATTTCATTATGTCATGATGTTTTCATTGGTTGAAACCGAATAGGTGCGTGAACTATGCCCCGGACACTCATTTCGTCCCAACAGTATATATTAGGGTGAGCTCGACGCGAGCAGTTAAGTTGTATGTTTGCCATCATTCAGTAGTTGTCTTATTGCCACAAACGAGTTCAGTTGTCTTATTGCCACCAACGATCAACGATTCAGTTGTGCTTTTGCCATCATCGCCTTCAGGTGCTTTCTGCCGACGGCACGTTACTTTCTACATTTTTACAAGCGTTCAATGCAGTTTATTTTCTGGTGCAAGTTATATCTTCTACAATTATTATGGCATAAGAAATTCTACAAACAAATGTTTTCAAGTTGGTAACTAAAAAATCAACTATATTAGTTAATCAAATTGTGATGAACTAAAATTGTAAATATTTAAAACTGTTTAGTGAAGATAAGAAAATTATTATATCTAAATGGAATCAACCACCATGTATTTACTTCAGTGAAAATAGTAAATTAAAAACACTTCTTTTTCTACTACCTATCACTCGTTAGTTATTTCTACAAAAGAACCCAATTCTTCTAACACCAGCGACATATGCTACAGAACATTTTTACCAAAGAAATATTCGGAAGTAACACCGGTATTTTTTCAAATATAATTGAAAAGTATGAATGTACACTACTTTCGGCCAAAGCAAATTAAGCAAAACCGTAGGGGTGAGATTACAGAACGTCTGCAACTTTGCAAATCTGCAAATATAGCGGACTTAAAAATGCAAGTATTCCAAAAAATATCTGCAAATTCGCAATATTTATTGTGGTTTATTACCCCCAACAACACTAAACCCAAATTTGGAATACGAAAACTTAATACTTGCATGTGTAAGTCAGTCTTATTTGCAGATTTTCAAAGTTGCCGCCATATTTGCAGATCTGCAAAGTTGCAAACGTTCTGTAATCGATAAGAAATATCGCGGTGTAGCTAAAACCTGATTTTTGTTTCTTATTTGGTTTATGTTCACCAAATGATGTGCATCTTTTATAAAAAGTTGAGATTATAGTACCCTTGTTTTTAATTTATTAACATTTTTCAAAACAAGTATGATATTTAGAAACAAATTTCGGAACCCATTCTACTAAAGGCGAGTTCGGGTAGTCAGGGGCTGGAGCGGGACAAATTTTAGGGTGCTTTTAAATGACATTTAAGCGTGTTAAACTGTCACTAATCGGACTAAACCGAAAGCTAAAAGGGTCGTTTGGAGTTAAAAGTGTTAAAGGAGTTAAAGGAACTTGGCAGACCGAACGCAATGTATATGATTCGTCTTCGTCACTTGTCATTGTGTCAAAGTCAAAGTCGAAAAAAAATTTAGCGGCAGCATGGACGCAAGTTAACAAGTCGCGTACCTACCGGTCTGTACATAATTTTTCGCAGTTTTCAAGTTGGATTAAGTTTCTAAAAAAATAACATTTAAAATGGGGTCTTATTTGTCTGAACCAGTTACCGAAAAAGTGTCCACGGATGAAAGTAATAATAAGTTGAATTGCGGAGCTAGCTCTATGCAAGGCTGGCGTGTAACCCAAGAGGTAGGATTTTTATTAAACGAGTTTTGATTGGTCGTAAATTTGTTGTTTAATCGTTAATATAACTATTTCCTCCAAAAAGTAATGGCTAATTTTGAAAAAAATTAATAGGAATAAAAATAAATCAAAATGGGGTCTGTTTTCAGATACAAACAACGTGTTTACTAATTCTTTATTCCTTTAAAGACATTGTTATAGTTCAGCTATGGTGTATTATAAAATAGTCTGGTTGATTGTGGGTAGCTGGCGCTTTTTTAACAGTTATACAAAATTAGATTAAGTAAGTATTTATCTGAATATAAAATTAGATATGAGCTTTTCAGTAGATTACAATTATAATAGTTTTTTGTTTAACAACAAACCCTTTTTATAGTCAATATCATGTTTATAACGCCTCACACATCGGTAAATAACCAACTGAACATTATACATATTAAATCTAGATATTAAAATTTTACCAATTTCTTTGAATT